AGGGCTGCTTGAGTATCCTCCTGGCAAGTGGCTGGCTGGCTGCCCCCAGAGCCCACGATCTATACATCACACAGCATCACATCTTCCATGTGGAACTCTGTTGGTGGCAAGTGTCTAAATCCAGGCTACATGGGATGGACCTCCACTCCGGAAAGGAGGGATGGGTTAAAAAGAACTCTGAATGGTTTAGCAAGTCACCATGCCAACATGCCAACAAGTATTCGTAGAGCACCTGCTGTATGCCTGACTCTGCGAACAGCCCGTGGTCCCGCCCTTGTGGAGCATGTCGGCTGATTCAGGGCTGCCAACCCATGTCCATGAGCATAAGTGAGTGACCTGGAGCACTTGGGGACTATGGTGAGATGGACTCTGGGGGAGAAGGAGGAGATGGAGATGGAGGAGGGAAGCTGCTGGGATCCATTCCTTGGCACACACTGTTTCCTTGGCTTGAATGCACTTCTCATCTTTCTCCCCACTGTGAACTTTTATTCCTGCTTCAAAACCCCAGTGGACATGTTCTTTTGTCTAGGAATCTCTTCTGGCTCAACCTCCAGAAGATGTGGTCAGCTCCTTCCCCTAGGCTTTGGCCATACTTGTTTCCACAGTTTCTGCCATGCATCCCTGCCTCCTTCAGCAGATCTTGGGAGGTCTAAAGGCTGAGTGACTAGGCAGGCATCTCTGGGCACAGAGGGCTACGAGGAGGGCTTCCAGGAGGAGGGATCCTGGAAGCAGGAGTAGGAGTTGCAGAGAAGAGATCTGGTTGAATTAGGAGCATGAATAAAAACAAAAGCAGGAGAGTGGGGGTGGGCCTGAGTTTGGCAGGGCCCGGCTCCTTGGTCTTGTGATCTGTCCCATCAGGCGTGGCCTGGGCCATCTTCTCACACAGTGAGGGACAAGACCCACCAGCCCCAAGAGGCCAGAGTTAGGGAGCGGAGATGGCTGGAGCGAGAAACACAAGTGCTGCATGAGTCACCCGTGGAGTGTGTCCCACAAAAACAAGGAGAGGCCAGACTGGGAGGAGGAGACTCCCAGCGTACAGGCGGAAGAGTGGGGGCTTGGAGTTGAGGGGTCCCTGCCGGGAGTTCACTAGCCCTTAGATCTCTCTGCCATGGGGGAATATGTCTCCCTGGGGTTCTGGCTCTTGGATTCTACCAACCTGGGAGCCTGGCTCCTCTCCAGTCCCAGGGCAGCCCCTGCCCAGTGGGTCTCCCCTAGGGCTCACCCCCTTCTTACTGTCTCCCGCACCCAGCAGCTGGAGGAATCTTTGGGGAAAAAAATAAATAAACTCATCAGATCCTATGACTCCCTTGTGACTCTCCTCCCACAGCTTTCCACAGCTCTGAAAGAAAATTCAAGCTTTCGGCTCAGCAGGGCCTGGTCCGCCCTGCCTGCCTCTAGGCACACTGAGAAAAGCTACCATACGTGCTTCCCTGCCCAGAGAGGAGTGGGCATTCAATCTGTTCCAGTCAGTCACAATATCCTCTTTACCCTGGCCGTAGGGATTGTTCGAGGAACAGTCATGTGACCCAAGCAAAACCAATCAGAATCTTTCCTAGAATTCCTACTTTGAAGAAAACAGGGAACAGATGTTGGCTTCCTGGGAGAAGCCAAGAGGAGAAGGACAGCAGCTTTGGCACCGCTGCCCATGGGGGCAAGGCCTTTACCATCTCCTTGCACTGCAGTGAGGTTGAGTTTCTGCTGCCATTTGCAATCCAGAGTACTTGATGGGGAAGGCCAGTTTCATCCAAGGGAAGCCATGGTCATGGACGGTGGCCCCTCAGCCTCGTCCTGGGCCTCTCTTTGCCCCTGGCACTCACAGCGATCTTGGTGCCATCTCTCTTCTGGCCTGGCTTCCAGAGCAGAGGAGCAGCACTCCTTTCAACCCAGTGGAAGCTATAGCTCAGAGGAGCTTCACGGCAGACACACTGCCTCAGTGGCTGCTCGTTGTCATGGAAATCAACAGGGGTGTTGAAGGCAAGATTCAAACCCATGCCTCCTGTCTCCAGAGTCCATGTCCTCAGGGCCAGCCTGCCTCCTATGGTACAACCCACGGATGGTAACTCCTATTGCCTGCTGGCCTGTGCTCTGGGTTGAGGAGAATGCTGAGCCTGCTGCTAGGCTCAGCAGGAAGATCTGTGACTGATTGGTGATGTCTGTAATGGATACAGAAAGGGCGCATATGGGCGTCCTTGCAGTGGAGGGAAATAGACGTGTCTCATGTGCATGAACTTAACCCCATGACATTCTGCTTCAACTAGGCAGCCGGCAGCTCCCTTCCCTGAGTGAGTCTGCCACCTGGTGAGGAGTCTGGTCACCAGCCTCTGAGTATTTCAGAATCCTAGGGAGAGCTGCCACTTGTTGAGGACCCCCAATGCATGCCAGGCATTGTGCTGTGCCCCCTCAGTGCAGCGTCTCATGGAGCTGTCACACTTGCCCAAGACGCATAGATGGTGATTCCTATCTGTAGATGGTGGCCCAGGTGGGGGAGGCACCTCACCAGGCTGCACAGCCAGTCTGCGACAGAGTCCTTTCCATCTTATCCTCTCACGCCCGATTCTCCCTGCCGCTCCACGCCTCTGCATGGAAAAAGCAGGGCCAGATTCTGTTATGTCTTAAAATTCAGGGCAGTAATTGGAGCAGTAGTCACTTTTGTGTGCCAAAGAGACAGGAAGTGAACACTTGATCATTCCTCAGAAAAATCTTCCGGAAAGTCCCCAAGAGATCAACAAGCTGAGTGAGCCCGGAGGCCGATTTTACGGCCACTGGTCCCCGGGCACGCACAGCCCTGCCCTGGGCACTGCTGCGCATCCAACCTGGCCTTACACCAGCCACAGGGCAAAGCACTCCGCACCCACTCACTTGTCTATTCTATGCCACAGTTCTGGCGGGGATGGGTACTTCTGTTTCACAAAGGATGATTCTGGGGTTCACAGAGATGGGCATGAGGGGGTATGTGTGTACTGATGGCAGCCTGCAGAACCGTGGCAATGCATGCAGCCAGAGGGAGAATTTTGCAAAGACCATGCCTGGGACGAAGGGTGAACAGGTTGCCGAGACCTCCATGGGAGGACTGTAACAGCCATCCCTGTTTGTAGATCATCTCGGGACCACCTCCTCTCCGTGTCATACCACCTACTGCCTTTTCGGGTGACTCACTAGTCCTTGTGCAGGGCCCTGGACACATGACTCAATCAGAGTCTCTGCTTTAGGGCTTCGAGTCTAGCAGGCCGTGACACCGAACAGAAAGAATGCTTGGGATTCATTGAAATGGCAAAGCAAGGTGATCACTAACATAATTTCCCGACTCGGGTAGCCTTATCCGTGTCTGGGATGCGCAGTTTACTGATTCTCTGATACGGGACAAGCTGCACCTTGGCTCATCCTCCACGAAACAGGACAGTAATAAAACACTCCCTGCAGTTCTTATCCCTGGGGGGGGGGGGTGCAGTTGTTCAGTGTGTTTGTCTTGAGGCAATCCCATCGGTCTTTAACGGGGTCTATGGGTTAAGAGCCTAGGAGTACCTGCTTGGTCCAGGGTTTTCCAGCGTGAGACATCAGCCTTCTTGTTGATTCTGCAAACGCTGAAACCCTATCAATTCATTCTAGCCCCGATTACCTGACTCAGAAACCCTGTGTGTTGCCCATAACCCCAAAACGTTACTTTTCACCTCAGAATGAACTGGAATCCTGAACCTCCAAGTCATGATCCCTCAGCTCCCAGCAGAAGTCTGCAGCCAATAGCACCACCAGGACCACTCTTTCCCGAAGCCACTCAAACCAGCCAGCCGCCTCCTGCAGGCGGCAGAAGGGTCATTTGACTGCATCATCTGTATCACCTGTGGCTCCCTGGGGTTGTGGAGCTCCTCCAGCCTGTGTGGCTCCCCGAGCAAGGGGGTGATCAATTATTCATCCCAAATTGATGAGGGTCTCGGGAGAGGAAGGAATTGTCAAAGGTGGATAGCAACATGGGACGGCTCCCAGCTCAGGCTCCCCCAGACCCAGCCACGCGGGGCAGGAGGTGAGCCGTGGGTGGAACAGCCTTGGTGCTTGTCCCATTTCCATTCTTCACACACTCATAACTTCTGTAGCCTGAATGCCACCTCAGACCCTTCGCACATGCTGAGCCATTTCAGTGGGACTCTGAACTCTCCTACACACATGGGTGTGTGTACACATGTACACACATATACCTGTGCACACAGGCACATACACACTCATACACAACATATGCACCCCTACGTGCACCCCTCAGCTCATCACCCTATCTCAGATCTAGGCTTCTCATCCCCTCCCTGAACCGTCAGCCCTAAGCTGACCCCAGTCTCCAGTGTCCCATTGGTCTGTTTCCTTTTTGGCAGTGACCTCACGCAGCCCTAATTTCTGTCTTTGAGCCACTAGGCTGTATCTGACCAGAGGGTTTGGCTCAGAGCTTAGCATCATGTTTGACAAGCAAATGGAAGAATCCCTGAGCCATTCAACCAGAGTAGCCTGAGCCATTGTCATGGTCTGTTGGGGTGGCTAGAATGAAATCTCCACGAGGGACAGAAAGTCACTGTCCATCGTTGTAGAGCAGGGAAGTCCAAGTTCAGAGCAGGTTAGGTGTCAAGTTCCTGTATCACATATGGCCGTCCATCTGGGGCCTCCCATGGTGAGTGGAGCAATACAGCTCCCTGGGACAGGTTTCTGAGGGCTGGGGTCCTGCTCACAGGAGCTCACCACCTTCCAGGAAAGCTGAGTGAGCACATACACATTTCTGGGGACACAGCCTTCCTCATCTTTCTCAGCTTCACTCCAAAGCTGAGGCCCAGGAGGGCCCGATAACTTGGATACGGTTCAAGCAAAAAGCAGGGTCATCTCACAGCCTTGAACTACGCCATGTGCAAGAAGGGAGATGTGGCTGAGAGAGGTTTGCTGTTTGCTCTCACGTCTAAGAAGCAAAGTCAAGATCAGCAGCCCATTGCGCAGATGAGGACACTGAGGCCCAGAGTTGGCACTAGGCTATGGAGCAGACAGGGAGAGGGGAGCCAGCTGACCCGAAGGTCGGGCTGCCTGGCGGGGCTGCGGGGCGGGGACGCAGACGCCGCGGGAAGCAAACGCAGCAGGACCGGCTCGAGTTCCTTTGGCAGCCGCGGGCCGGGGCAGGGCGGGGGCGCCTGGTTTTCATCACCCGCGGCGGCGGCGGCTGCGGGCGGGCGGGGCCCGGGCGAGGGCGCCGCACAAAGGGGCCGCTGTCGCGCCGCGCCCGGCCCGCCCCTGCGGCCGCCCCTCGGCTGGTGGCCGCCCCGGGTCCCCGCTGCTCCTCCCTCTCGCGCTCTCTCCCCGGCTCCCGACTGCCCCCTCGGAGACGACTCCGGGGTCGGCGCCCGGGACCCGCCGGCTCGGCGGGCTTAAACCGGGTCAGGGTGAGGGCTGCGCCGGACAGACTGGACCCGAGGAACCAAACTCCGGGCGCCCAGCGGAGGAGCCGCCGCCACCGCCCCCTTCACTATGGTAACGCTCACAGGGCAACATCACCTTGCTCTGCCCCCTTTCAGCGGGGTACTTGCACCCCGACCTCCTGCGCGAACCCTCTTCCAAGGAGTCAGGCAGGACCCTGGCCCTTCGCGCTGAGCCGGCCCAGGGGTCTCCATGCCAGCAGGTCAGGCACAAGCTGCTGCCTAGCCGGCCACTCTCTGGGCCTCTGGTGCGTGCGCTGGATGTGAGATTCAGGCCAGTGTTTTTGGCCTGAATCCTTTATCTGCGGCCTCGAGCCAAACTCTTGGAGGCTTTGCGTTTTACACGGCAGACAGACACAGGGTATTGCGTGGGATGCGGATGGCCGTGCGAGTTCAAGGCTCCTTGTAGTCTCACCAGACAGGGAGGGGGCGGGGAGCTCTGCGGTGAGCAGTGGGGAGGGGGACCTGAACTTTGGGATGGTTTTGTTAGTTTATCATCAGCCCGGAACTCAGATGTGCGCCTTGTCTGGAAGCACCTGCTGTGGGGGTACCTGGATGGGGACCCGGTCACCTGGGCAGGGCCAGGAGGGGCGGCACTGCCAGCCCTCACCTTGCGGATTTGCCCCCCTTAGATTTGGCACGTTGTGGGAGCACGCGATGTGGATGCGTGCCTGCGTCAGTGTGTGTGTGTGTGTGTGTGTCTGGGCGCTGCCTGGCTGGCTCAGTATGTGGGTACAGGGTAAGAAAGAAAAGTCTGTTTCGAAGGAATCCCAGCCCAGCTCCAGACAGGCCCAGGAACTCAGGCAGATTCCCAGGAGCCATTTTCCAAATCCCAGGGGAATTTGGACAAGGACTGTGAAGACAGGCGAGGAGTTTAACCCCTTGAGTGTGATGCAGTGCGTTGACTTGGAGTGGTGTGCACACATGTGCGATTCACCTGCTGAGGAATGTCGCGCAGAGGGTTGTGCTGGCGCACACAGAGCAGGTGAAACACACTCCCAGGGCTTCACAGGGTTCAGCACAGTGCCCTGCCCTATACATAGCCTTGCCCACAGGCTCTCCTATATTGCTAACGCAGGGCACCCACCTGCCCACACAGAGCAACCGAGCTCAGACCCAGCAGGTATGTACACACACACACACACACACACACACACACACACACACACACACACTCTGCTCTTGGAGCCTACTACAGGCAGTCCCATGGACCTTTGCCTGCAGTGAAGGCCCCAAGGGAGGCAGGTTACATTACATAAGTTCATCGAACTCTCTGCAGCTCTGAGATCGGATCCACCGATCTCTCCACCCAGCACAGGCTGCCCAAGTTTACTCCATCAGAAAGATCACATCAGGGCAGCCAGAATGCCGAGCCTTCACTCAGCTATCACACAGAGCCACAACCTGCACGAACAGGTGCATGCTAAACCACTCCTGCTTTGGCACCTAACCTAGCGACTAGTTCTAGAATCCAGAAGCCTGTCCCTGGACCGTGGTGTCTGAGAGCAAGAGTCAGACTGTGGAATACTGCTGTCAAAGCCTGAGCAACTCCACCGAGTGGGAATGCTGGGGGCTGTAGCTCAGCTCTGTAACTGCTCACCCCCCTGCTTTACCTCTGCTCCGGTCACCTGATCTTGGCTCATCCTCCTCCACACCCCACAGGGCCTTCGCTCGTGCTGTCCCTCATGGCTGGCTCACCTTCTTGGATTGAATTTCTGTTCAGTCTATAAGTCTCCGCTCCAACATCACCTCTTGAGGAAAGTCTTTCCCAGCTCCCCCACTCTCACTCCAGTATGCCGTTGCACTTGTCACAGTTGTAGGTTGTGTGGTGTGACTTGATCGATGGCTCTCTGGTGTTTGGGAGCAGTTCATGATGGAGAGGTTTGTTCTAGTCCCACATTTCCCAAATGTCGGTGTCGTCGGAACCACTTCTAGATGTCTGCTCGCTGGGTCAAATGCACTATAAAGAAATAACAAAATCTACTACTTACTGCTGTTCTACATGTTTCCTTTCAATTAATGTACTTGATACATTTAAAATATATTTAAATAGGAGTTTGACAGCACAGCTATAAAAATCCGTATGTGTTGTCACAAAGAGAAGGTCATTGCAAACATTCTCCAGGCGAAGGCCGCCTAGCATTCTCTGGTCTCTTTCATTTTGGTGAGAGGAATCAGCCCAGAGGAGAAATGGGGTGGCCAGGGGAGAGCTGGGGTAACATTTCTGCTACGATTTCACAAGATGACCTCAGGAGTCACCTGCCATTTCATGCCAAGCTTGGAGGAAAATGAGTTGAGTCTAGTTCAAGTCACTCAACATTGTTAAAAAACAAAACAACACAAACAAACAAAAAAACCAAACTGCTACTGCACAGCAGGGTCTGGATAAGCCCTTACTGTGTGAGGGGCCACAATGGCTAGAGCTGAAATGATCCAAAGCCAAGAGCCTTGAGCCTCTTCCAGGTCTCCCACGTGGGTGCAGGGTCCCAAGGCTTTGGACCATCCTCCACTGTTTTCCCAGGCCACAAGCAGGGAGCTGGATGGGAAGCAGGACTGCCTGGATTAGAACCAGCACCCCTATGAGTTCCCAACACGTTCAAGGTGAGGACTTTAACCCGCTAGGCTACTGCTGGGCCCTAGAGTTCAAGGCATACGACACTTAACAAAGAAACTAAAGGTGATGACGAGTTGTCAGAAGCCATGTTAAATGAATGACACTAATGACAAGGGAATCTCAAATCAGGATCTGTGCACAGGGCTAGAAAGCCCCCATGTGGGCACAAGCGTGGCTGGGGAACCCTGGACTAGAGCTAAAATGTGTATATTCCCACGCTGGAAGCTGGCTGTCAGGGCACAGGCACAGAGACAGCTAAGGCAGTGGGGAGCCACCTGCAATGGGGGTGCCATGGAGGGTCACAGCTTGATCTGTGTGTTGGAAAGAAGAGCCTGGCTCTGGGAGAAGCAGGTTCATCCCCAGCTGTGCCACTGATCAGTAGGAGTGCTTTGGCTCAGTTGCCTAATCTCTAAAATGGGAATGCAAATACTCAGCCCTTCGAGTTATCGGATGCTGGAGTGAACCAGTGCCTGTGAAAGGCGAAGCCTTTCCACAGATGACTTGCCCGGTAAGAAGTGGCTCTGGACGTCACTGTTGCTGTATGGATGGGAGGTGGTAAGCCCGGGGGAAGGCAAAAAAGAGGGTGACACACAGGGGCAAACGTGAAATCAGAGCTCTGAGAGGGGAAGCAATGTGCCCCAGGTCATGCAGGTGAGACAGGCCAGAGAGCTGGCCTTGAACATGAGTCCCCAGACACCCACTGGGGCTTCTCGGCTCACTGCCTTGGAGCTGTTTTTCTGGTTTCTGAAGGGCTTGTTTAATCAGAAGCTGGCTCTCCATGCTACCACCACCCACACAAAAGCTGAAAGGACTCGAAGCAGGAGAGGTTTTTGTTGGACGTGAACTAGGACTCCTGGGCCACCAGGGGGCTGCCTTTAGAAATGCAGGCTGTTGCATGTGTTCAAGTGGGACGTCCCAGCTTCCACTTGGGGCCATAAGCTGACGATCCCTGGGCTGTGTTTGGCTTCCAGATGTGATTGCTTTGGAAAGAACCCTTAAAGACAACAACAATAACAACAACAACTGGGCGGTCTTACAAAAATTCAGCAACGTTAAGCAAGGAAAGCCTTGACCGGCACTAATGCGTTGTGACGTGTGCCCTGTTACTGAAGCTAGCTGCCAGGGGTCCAACACAAAGAGGCTGCTTTCTCACATTCAGTCTGGCCCAAGGCAGGGAAACGGCCAAGGACAAGCCCATCCTCGTCTGGTAGCTCTGTCCTGGCTCCAGAGCTTCCTGCACCTGATTTTACCTTAAATTCCAGCAAACTCTTGTTGGGAGGACCCTTGAAGATAGATGGGCCTAGGGCCTCCCTCCAACAGATGGGAAAACTGAGGCCAAGGCGCTCCCGTGAACCGGAGGCAAAATCTTGCCTTCCTTGGGCAGCAGGATTAAAGGCAGCCCCGGGTGGGACCTGGTCCACCTGCAGGTTTATAGATCTCGTCTGTTCCCAAGGAAGGAGGTGACCGTTGCCGAATGGATCCTAACATCTTGGCCTGTTGAAGCCAACGGCAGTCTAGGCCTTTCAGAAAAGTCCAACTCACTTGCAAGAAGCCCAGCTAACAACATCTGGCAAGACTATTTACAAATGGAGCCAGCCTTAGCAACACACACACACACACTAGCACACTTTTATTTTTCTTCCTTCAGAGTAGAAAAGCCCGCAAGCCAGTTACCGACTGAACGTTTAAAAAATCCAGCCAACCCTGGAGAAAATTAACTCTCTGCTGTGAGCAGCCCCTGCCTGCCTCTCCCAACCCCCAGGAGCGAGTGCAGTTAATGCTTTCTTTAAAGGCACCTGGGCCTGGTCTAGGCATGCGTGTGCATTTATGCCAACCATAGATCATGCTGTATGAGAACTTTTAAAACAATTACAGGAAAGTCCCAGGGGGTTGCCTATAAGTAAAAATGAACCCGCCTGGGCATTTTGTATTTGTTCATTCTACCGGATAAAGATCACACTTAAGATTACACTGGGAGCAGAGGCTCAAGAAGACATTAGCATAGAAGTGGGTAAGCTTGCCCAGGCAGCATTGCTAGGAGTACTTTTCTGTATTCCCTGGTGCCACTTTGGATCCTCCAGGTCAGCTGGGAAGGTCTTGGAAGGTTCCTGCTGCCCTTGATAGGCTCCCACGCTGGGTTGTACTCTCTCCTCTTCTTCCTTTTCAGAGCCACACTCTTGTCTGGGCTTTCAAGAGGAGCTCTGAGAAGGGCCAGTCTGGGCTGCACTCCCTGGGAAGGAATGGAAACAAGTGATTAGGTTTCACGGAAATCACATTGAGGGGCCCACATCTGGCCCACGGAGCTGGGGCTCTCGCAGTCCCAGGGCTGGGCTGAGCTGTGGGTTTGGAAGGTGGCATGGCCAGCATTCCTCACTGTTGGCCAGGTTCAGAGGCTGTGCCTGCCCCAGTCCTTGGACAACTGGGGTACAATGCTGGAGCAGGTCCTGCACTGCTCTGGGAATCTGGAACATTCTCCCTTTGAACTGGCTGCCCCTTAAATGACTGTGGTGTATGGTGAATGGAGCCAATGCGTGAAAGCCAAGGGCTCTTAGCTTGCGAGCCTTGTGTGAGAAGTAAACAGTTTCTTCAGGCACTGCTGGAAACAGTACCAGACGGGCAGCTGGGCAGGCCACCCCCGCGCTGTTGGCTGCAGGCAGAGCAGACAGCAGGGGACGGGGGCGGATTGGGCCGACCCACATCTGGATCGGATCCTAGCTCTTGCTCCTTGTTCCTGTGATCTTGGGCAGGATCAACATCCATTTTTCTCTCTCTCCATCCAATAACAAGTCCCTGTTTAGCCACTGACATCGTTGTGTGGGCCAAGTGAAAAAGTCTGAGCAGGGTCTGGTGCATAGTGGCCACTGGAAGCTGCTGCTAGAGGCTGCTGTTAGTCCTGGGCTGTGAGCAGTAGATCAGAAAAAAGTAGGATGGGAGGAGAGCTGCAGGCAGAGGCTGGAAGGGGCCAATCTGGAACAGTGACAGTCAGCCCAACAGTGCTTTGTGCTCCTTTCAAGACCTCCTATGGCTGGTAGCCCAGAACAACATATGAGTGAGATAGGCTGGGGACAGGGATCCCCACTGACGGTTGGGGAGATGCAGGGAGAGAGCTGAGCTGCAGTCCACAGGCAGTAGGCTGACCTGATGGCAACTGGAACTCAGACAGAGATCTGCTCATCCATTGTCCACAAATGCATCCAACAGCTAGGGCTGGCTCAGGTCAAAGCCAGGAGCCTGGGATTCCATCTAGGTCTCCCATGTGACTCTCAGGGACCCAAACACTTGGACCATAACCTGCTGCCTCACAGAGAGTACATAGCAAGAATCTGGATTGGGATAGAGCTGGGCTGGAACTCCAGCACTGTGATGCAGGATGCAGGCCTGCCAAGCACTGTCCTAAATTGCTCCGTCCTCAAGATGCCATGGCATCCTTTGTGAGTGTTTCCCCATGTCCTAGTCTTGTGCAGAGAATGTGTGCCTGTGATCCATCTCTGCCAGTTCTTTAAAGCAGGTGCAATTACAATCTCCACTTTATAAAGAAAACAAAGCATGAGACAGTAAATAATTCTGTAAGTGACAGAACGAGGATTTTGTTTTCAAAAGATGTATTTATTTTATTTGAAAGGCAGAGTGACAGATAAAGGGGGAGAGACAAGAAAGAGACCTTCTGCCTGCTGGTTCACTACAACAGCCATGGCCGGTCCAAGCCAAAGTCAGGAGCCTAGAATTCCATTTACATCTCTCCTGTGGGTAGCAAGGACCCCAATCCTTGGGCCATCTTCTGCTGCTTTCCCAGGCACATTAGCAGGGAGCTGGATCAGAAGCAGAGCATCCAGGACTCAATCAGCACTGATATGGTATGTGGGAAAGTCTGGCTTAACAACTGCACTGCCACGGCAGTGGTCCCAGAACCAGACAGCCTGGGCTTCAGTAGAGTCTCCATTTCAATCCCGGTTACTTAAGTTTTCCCACAGTGAATGCTAATCTAATTTTTAAAAAAGTAGAATATACTAAACACCAGGAAAGGAACAACAAATAAAATTTCTGAAAACACAAACTTAGCCCAGCTCAATCAGCACACAAGGAAAGAGGCCCAGAGAGGAAAGAATCCTACAGTTGTGACCCTGTAATGAAGTGGAAACAGTTGCATCAGTGTCCCGGGACAGATGAGGAGGAGTGCGGAGGGCTGGTGGCAGGAGAGGGTGCTGTCCTAATGGAGTTGGTAGATTTGCATGTCTGGGCATGGCAGATGCCTCTTCCCTTTGTCATTGCCAGGACTGTGTGGGGTGGGAAAGGTCAGAGTTTGGTCTTTCCTAGCAGAGGGTGGTGATGCCAGGTGAGCCTTGTTCTATCCTGCGGGTACACTTACAGCACCTGTGGGTACCTCACCCTCTGTGAGCTCACAGCCTCTTCTGGGCCAGGACCTGCTTTCTTCCGGATGGTGCTATAGATGTTTAGCCCATCATTCTGCAACTGGCGAGGGAGGCCTCACCTGTGCCCGGCACCTTGTGGGCTGCAGGTGGGCCTGACCTTGGCCTCTGCATCACAGCCTCCTGGGAGCTGGGGTGGAGAACTGTCCTCACTCTCCTTTTCAAAGACCCCTCTTTGTTTCTCCATCTCCTGGGACCTTGTTTATAAAAATTATTTCCCTCCTGACTCAGCTGTGTTTACATTGGCTCCTCACCGTCTTCTCTGCCTGCACCTTTGAGCCGCAGATGGAGGGACCCAGTGCTGGCCTCGCTTGGGGCTGCCCAAATGGCCTTTTGAGTTGAAAGCCTACACCTGCCTGGAAACATCTCTCTCTCTCTCTCTCTCTCTCTCTCTCTCTCGCTCTCTCCATATATATATATATATATATATATATTTATGGTGTGGCTCAAGTCGGGGCATTTTGTTCACCCTTCCACTAAATGCACTGAGCACCTCTTCTGGGTCCTGCCCAGGGCCAGGGAAGAGTTGAGTTAGCACCTGTTTCCTGGTGTGTCTTGTTGCTGTAACAAAGGAGCACAGACTTAGCAGCCGGAAACAATGCACATTTATGATCTTGTGGTTCTTATAGAGAAGTACGACGCTATCTTGCTGGACTGAAAGTCAAAGTGTGGCCAGTCCTGTGTGGCTTTCAGGGCAACGCCAGGTGGGAGGGTCTGTCCACTTGTTGTGAATGGTCGGAGTTGGGGTCCGGGTTGCAGTGGGGGCTGGGGGTTGCGGCAACAAGCAGGAGGCAGGTGCGGAGCGTGGGAGAGTTAGCTACTTGACTGAGCTATGGGGGGCGCCAGGAGGCAGCTCCAGCAGGGGTCGTCCTTGAGGTTGGGGAGGAGGATGCTTGGGAAGTGGCTGTGTTGGGTTTGCCGTCTTGATGGGCTGTGCCTGGGACGCAGCTGTGAGGCTCCCAGGGGGCATGGATTTTGTTTTGGAACAAACCTCAAATGAAGAGCCAACAACAGCCTCTGCATGTGCCTTGGGAGGAGTGTGAGCTAGGCTGGGCTTCTCTGGTGGCTCAGCTTTGAGGTGCAGTTCTGCAGGGCAGCCAGGTGGTGGCATGCGACCCTTGACCTCCGTGGGTCCCCCTGACCTTGCGCCAAGGGATGACGTGTAAGTGGTGGTGGTGGTAGGGGGTGGGTGTGAAGGGAACCACTAGTGCGAAGGTTTTGGAGTGAATGAGGAGGAGGAAGAAGTGGTCCCTGTGGTTTCAGGGGCAAAGAGAGGGACAGAAGAGGTCCCCAGGGGTCTGGGTAACCACAGGAAGTAGCCAGGGCCCTTGTTACCGCTGCTGCGACTCAATCACCGCTCCTCCTGCTGCCTCCCAATCCCAACCCAGGACCCTCCATCCCTGGACACAGCCATCCAGCACACCCTCGCCGGCCTCTACCCTCCCTTTGAAGCCACAGCGCCCACTGTGCTGGCCCAGGTGTTCCGGCTGCTGGATTCAGACTTCCGGGGCGACGGCCTGAGCTTCCTGCTGGACTTCCTGGTCCCAGCCAAGCGCTTGTGTGAGCAAGTGCGCGAGGCAGCCTGTGTAAGTCGGGGCACAGGGCCAGGGGACAAGCTCTTCTCCCAGAAGGCCATGGAGTTGGAGCGGACAAGAGGGTGGGTGGTGGGTGTTGCGTGGGAAGAGCTGGGGCTGGGTACCGTTTTCCTGGGAAGCATTGCTTGTCCACAGGGAGATGTCTGCTCGTCCTATCGCCCCAGTTAGAGTAGGAGAGCCACACGACTGCTGCCCTGGCACATCGGGAAGTCATCGGCCTCTGCACTTTTGTCAGCAGGGAGGAAGGTCTGGACAGACAGAGGCATCCTTGGGTGCCCTGGCTGGCACTGTGGGCATCGCCAGGTTGCTGAAGCTGCAGTAGGGACAGGGAATGATCTAATGGAGCCCCTAAGGCCTCAGCACTACTGCTGCTTTCCCTGATCTCCAGGAGGCCTTTCTGGCCATGAAGCAGAGAGGAGAGCCCGTCAGGATGGGCTCCTCAGCTACAGGGGACCGAGCCCTTACTCAGAGTCCTCAGGGAGTCAGACCTCATATCCCCGGCTGACCCACTGATCACAGCTCCTGACATTTTCGTGCTGCCCCCCTGCTTCCCAGCATCCCACTTTCAGCCTAGGGATTCCTACCCAGCTGGACTCAGGCAAGGATAGGACTTTGCTCCACCCCAGAGAGGAAAATGAATTCCTTCAGCAATGGCAGGTAGCAGAATCTCAAGGAAGGAGCTTGCTTGGCCAAGCTCCTGCCATCTATTTCTAGACCAACTACTGTGCCAGAGGAACCAGGCCCCTCGGCATGGCATACTTGAGTCATACAATTGCCTTCTGAGGTTGAGAATTTTTTTTAAAAAAGATTTATTTATTTTTCCTTGAAAGAGTTTAAAAAAGAGAGAGAGAGAAGGAAATTGGAAAGAAACAGAGGGGAGAGATCTTCCATCTGCTGATTCTCTCTCCAGATGGCCACATGGCCAGAGGTAAGCTGGTCAGGAGCTGTGGGTCAGGAACCTCTTCTGAGTCTCCCACGTGGGTACAGGGGCCCACGGTCTTGGGCCATCCTCCACTACTTTATCATCGATCTGGATTGGAAATGGAGCACCCGGGACGTGAACTGGAGCCCTTATGGGATGCGAGCATTGCAGGCACAGGATTAGTATGATACACCACCGCCCCAGTCCCAGGATATATAAAGATTTATTTACCGGGGCTAGCACTGTGTGTGTAGCAGCTAAAGCTGCTTTCTGCAAGGCCAGCATCCCATACAGGTTCCAGTTCATGCCCTGGCTACTTCACTTTCAATCCAGCCCCTTGCTAGTGGCCTGGAAAAACCAACAAAATATGTCCCAAGTGCTTGGGCTCCTGGCACCCATTGGAAGATCCAGATGAGGTTCCTGGCTTTGGCTTGACTCAGCCCTGGCCTTTGTGAGTGAATCTAAGGACAGAAGATCTTTCTGTCTCGCCCCCACTCTCTCACTTAGCCTTTCAAATAGATAAATATTTCTTAAATTATTTATTGATGTGGAAGAGAGTGAGAAATCTTCTAGCTGACTCTTTAAATGATTGCAACGACCAAGAAGACTGTGCTAATCTGATACTAGAAGCTGGAATTCCATGTGGCTCTCCTGCATGGGTGGCAGGGCCCTCATGCTTGGACCATCTTCTGCTGTTTTCCTAGACCATCTGCAGGGAGTTAGATTGGAAGTAGAGCAGCTGGGACTGAAATCCAAACTCATGTGGGATGACGGCCTCACAATCAGGAGCTTAACCCACTGTACCAATACAGGCATTGTGAGTGGAGATTTCTAAAGAAAAAGATGGAGAATGGTTCTAAGAGATCAAGCCTTCTGGGGGGGGGGGTTTTACCTGCTGTCCCCTGCTCTGTGACTGCTCAGTACCCACCCCCTAACACCCAAACCTTGAGAACCCGCAGAGCTCCCTGGCCCCACCAGCCTGATAGCACACACCTGGAGCAGCACCGCGGCAAGGCCTGCATGTTGGAGAAGGCTTTCAGTTGCAGAAGGAAATCATGTGTGGCAATTCCAGGGCAAGGAGCAGAAGGAAAGAGAGGCCACCTGTTGGAATCCCTTAGCCTAGAGCCTGGCAAGTAGAGCCCACCCACCATCCAGGGGCTGGAGCTATGGCAGCTTGTGGTAGCTACACCCGCAACTGACTCCCCACATCCGTGCCGACATTCCGAAGGGGGCCTGCCCCATCCTTGCTTCTCCCCTGAGGAGCCGCTCAACCACCCACTTCCTCTGGTTGGCCATCAAAGCCGCACTACACTGAGCACTTCCTCATTTTTCTCAGGAACAGGATCTTGGCTTTCCCACGTTTTTAATCTTTCACTGTCAGTGAGTTCAGCTTGGCTGGCATTCTAGCAAACCCATGCCATCTCAGAACAGAAGGGAGTAACATGGGATGGGCAGTGTGGCCATTGCAGTCAGGTGCCCCAGGTTCAAATCCAGGCTTCTCCTGCCTGGATGGAGGGGTGTGCATTTCAGCTCTCTGTCCGTGTTCCCTAGGGGTAACAGCATGGCAGGTACTACAGAGCTGGTTTTCACCACTCAGCCCAGGGTCTGACCCATAGCGGATGCCCAGGGGGTGCTGGTTATGTTGGCACACTTCCTCACGTCTCCCTGTAAAATTGCAAGGGGCCAGCCTCCCCAGCTGACTGTCTCAACTGTCACCACACACAGGAGGCCACTTGCCCATGGGGAGTCGTTTGGGACTTGGCGACATACAGCAGGTTCCGTTTGCCACATTTGCTGTGTGACCAAGCCAATGGATTTCCCTCCCTGACCCACAGTTCTTTTGTTCATCTGCGAAGTGAGAATTACAAAGCAGGCCTTGTCTGTGCCAGGAAATCACCACAGATGGGCATGGCTGACCTCCCTGCTGCTTTACTGCCAGGAACATGGCGAGCCTGTCCCTGACCCTGGCAAGATTCCCTTTGGGAGAACAAAAAAAAAAAAAGTCCCAGGGTGGAGGCTTCTAGGGCTGACGTGCATGATGCCACCCCATGTCTCCGCAGGCCCCCTACTCACACCGCCTCTTCCTGCACCAGGGCTGGCCGCTCTGCCTGCAGGAGGAGGTTGTGCTCCACTTGGCACCACTCAGTGCCCTCCTGCTGCGTCCGGGGGACTTCTATCTCCAAGTCGAGCCCCGAGAGGAGCAATCTGCCTGCATCACGGTCAAGTACCTCTCCTCGGACCTCCGCAGTGTGGACCGGAAGCCCGTCCCCGCATCATCCTACCCTGTGCTTTTCACCCGCGAGTGGCTAGAAGCTATCAACAGTGACCTGGAGGGAAGAGCCCTCCGGAACTGCCTGGTTGCTTCAGAAAATGGAATTGCACCTGTGTCTTGGACCAAACTCACTAGTCCAGAGTTTGTGGATGCTGGACCACGTGCCTTAAGTGTTGTCTCTCCAGCTGGGAGGCCTCCTCCACCAGAAGCACTCAGTTTGAGTGACCCCCAAGAGCTGCATGAGGCCGGCTGCCCAAGCAGCCGGATGTTTCTCAGCCAGGGTCTGGCTGCGGGCAAGGGCAGGACTCACGGGAACAAATATCCGGGGCTCATCAAGGTGCAGCAGGCCAGGCCTGGCGAGGAGACCTTGCAGCTGGACCATGGGGTCAGCCAGGACTGCGGAGGAGACTATGTGGCACTCCTGGACTTATCCAAAGCCAGCAACGGAGGGTTTCCTGGGAGGGAGGTGGTGTCCCCCAGGGCTGGTGCTTTGGGGACACCAGCCAGGCTCTCTGGAACTCAGCACATTTCTGACCCTCAGAGAATGCTGCCACTCCCGGGTGACAGTGGGGAACTGGCCTTGGGATTGGCTTCTGTGCAGCCAGCAAGCTCCCAAGAGGAACCTGGCATTGGACGCCAGAAACCAAAGATGGTCCTTGATGCACCTGCCTGTGATTCGGGACAGCAACCCCCAGAGCCCAACCTGGATGCGCTTGAGGAGCGGCTGGACTGCACAACTGACCTTAGGGCTGGTGTCTGCAAAGAACCAGCCACCTGTGAGACACAGAGACTGCTGGGAAAGCCAGAGAACAGGACCCAACCCAGGTCCGGACCCAGACAGGTTTCCTCTCCTCGCCTGCCCCCAGCCTCTCCTGCAGGCCTAGCTGTTGCAGCCAAGGTGGAGAAGACCCAAGACGGAAACGGGAGACTCCCCAAGTTCATGGTCTCTCCTGATGGAGACCCTTCCTTCTTTGGGTCCCCAATTCCTAGGCTGCACTTCTCATTCCTAGAAGGTCCGAGGCCGTCCTCTGTGCCTCCAGCAGAGGCCTCACCCCAACTGGACTCCCCCAGATCCCAGGAAGCCAAAGCCTTAGGGAAAGGTATGGGCCAAGGGACAAGCAGGTGCGGGGGCGGGAGGGCGGTTCTGGCTGTGAGGCACAGAGAGCTGGCTCAGCTTAGGGGTTCAGTTGCAGTGTGAAGGAGCTGGAAGCCTGGTGAGGCTGAACTTGAGCAAGGTGCTGTCATTGTGCTGTGAGAGTCCCAGCTTGTGTCGCCAGCTTTGCCATGCCCTGGCCTGTGTGGTCCTGGCTAAGGACTTGATCTCTCTGAGTCCAGGTGTCCCTGTCTGCTCAGTGGGGATCTTACCTGCCTCACAGAGTTGTTCTCACGGCACAATAAGATTCCAGAAGAGTTTGGCACCATGCCTGGCACACAGTAGGAAGCTGTGAGTGGGAAGAGTTGTAAGCAGTTGATATTAGTCAGAGGGTGAAAAAGAGAGCATGTTCCCTTCGGAAACCCAACTTCTGTTTAACATCCTCTCCTTTGTTGTTGCTTTTCCCAGATGGGACAGCTCAGACCAAAACATCTGGCTCAGCCGCTGACTCAGGCCTCGGGCCCAGGGCGCAGACGGCCTTCCCACCAGCCTCAGCCAGCCACCCCCAGAGAGGCCCCGCTGTCGGGTTTGAGGAGTCCCCGGGGCCTGCACCAGGGGCTGGGGTTCCGGGTGACAAGATTCTTCACTCCAGGATAGCATGCCTGCCAGGTTCCAGGGACTGGAGTGGGTGGGGGGCGGGGAACTGGTGGGGAGGTCCCAGGCATCCTCAGGTGCTGGTGGGTGGGGCAGAGATATGCAAAGCCTTGGAGGCCTGGGTTCTGAGTCTCAGTTTCCTCATCTTTCCTATGAAGGAACTGGATTAGATGAAAACAGTTTCCAGGTATCCAACCAGCCACCCATCTGTCAGCTCATCTATCTATTGGCTCATCCAGCCTCCCATCCACCCACCTGTCCATTCTTCCACCCATCCATCCACTCATCCATCCATCCATCCACACATGAATTGCTCTGTTCTTCCATCCATTCATCTGTGCATCCATCTAGCTTTCCATCTTTCAGCTCAACTGCCCGTCCATCCATCCATCCATCCATCCATCCATCCATTCATCATTCATCTATCTATCCATCCATTCATCTGTCCATCCTCTAAATTCTAGAGAGGCAAGGTGGTCATAGGGTTCCCTAGAAAGGAGCCTGAGACATGGATTGTGGGAAGTGGTTTACTAGAGGAGAGCTCTCAGGAGACGGGAAGGGGAGAAAGCAGGACAGGGCAGGTGCAGGAACTGAGCGAGACTGTGGCTCGACCCCTGGAGCATCGACCACACCACAGAGCTGGCTCCATTTTCAGGCATGCGGGGCTGATATTCTGTGAGCCTGGATCTGTTAGCCATTAACTGTGATCTAACCCAGGACGTGTGAGTCACCGCCTGCAGCTGACCGTAGAAGCAGATGCTGAGCGAGTCGGTGGTCCAGGCCAGTGGAGGGCAACTCTTCGGAAATGGGGCGTCTAAAAGCCACTTGCAGTGAGGCCTTTCAGCTGCCAGGGCGTGGGTGCTCTGCCAGCTGGGGACCTGGGAGGGACAGCAGGTGTTATCCCTCCCGTCTTCTGTTGACTCAATGAATAGTGAATGAGCCCTCAGCCCTGGTCTTCATCAGGGAATATGTCTAATGTACTCCCTGCTCTCAGCGTGCCTACACTCAACAGCCTTTCCCAGCAGGTTGGTGCAATCCAGGGTAAAACCAACAAGGAAGTACAGCAGCTGTGGGAGCACAGATGAGGGGCCCAACCCAGGGGAGGGCTTCCTACTGGAAGCAGCGTAAAGCACAGACTTGCAAGATGAGTCATTCAGGTAAAGAGTTGGAAACAGCATTCCAGATAGAGGGAACAGCATCTGCCAAAGCCTGGGGAGCAAGAGAGACCACAGTGCTTTGGGACCGTCCTGCAATTCCATCCGACTTCCTAGAGCCGGATGCTTCTATAAGGCTCTCGGCTCCACCTGTCCATGCATCTCACAGAAGCATCACCTCACAGCCCCTGGGTCATCTCTCTGGGAGCCTTGTTGCTTGCTCCCCTAGCCGTGGTGCCCACAGTGTCCCGGGCCTCTGAGGGCTGCCATGTTCTGAACTCTCAGGTCCTAGCCATCTTAGGACTCGGCCTGGGGAGGAAGGCCACCTGTGGAATCCAGCTTCTTCACGGCTGCTGTGTGCCGTGGCAGAGGTCACTTGCTTCTCTGTGTCACGGAGTGCAGGTACACTGGTTCGCTTGCTACCTTGCTTTTGTCATCCGTGGGCATTGCTGCATACACAGATGGTCCCCAGGTGCATGGACAGGACCCTCGTGACTTCTCCCGTCCCCATCTTTTACCCTTAGCAATCTTGGCCTTGCTCCTTGAGCCCCTTCCCCGCATGGCCCTTCCCTCCCAGCTGGCTGTTCTGGCCCTGATCTTGACTCCCTGTTACTGCAGCCTCTCTCTGGCTCGCCCACCACCTGCCTTCCTGGGCCACAGGTGGCCAGGGGAAGCTGTGCATCCATTTGTGGTTTTACAGCAGAAATCTACTTTCTCACAGCTTGGAGCTCATGTTCAAGGTCAAGGTGTTGGCAGGTCTGAAACTTTTAGAGGCCTCCCTCTTTAGCTGGTGGAGTCTGCTGCTCTTGTAGTCCTTTCTCGGCATGCAACAGTCCTCTTCCTGTAGAGCCAGCAGTCGTTTCTGCTTGTGCCCACATACCCTAGGCACCACGTGGCATCCTCACAGCCTCCTTAAAGGCCCCAACTCCAACAGGGCCACAGGCTCAGGCCCTGGGGTTTGGGACTTCCAGGATCTTGATGGGGAGGGAGTGACAGTTTATCCCATAATGCTCAGGGGCTGAAGTGAGGCTGGAAGGACCAGGTTGAAGTCCCCAGGGAATCACGGCAGGTTTTAGAGCAGGGGACGAGTGTCACTGACCTGAGCTCCAGTTCTTGGTGTGACCCAAGGTTCTAGGGAGAATGAGGTGCAAGTCTCGCCCTGGCAGACAGGCCTGAGCGTGGGAGATCTGGAAACTGCTCACCCCTGCCAGGTCTCAATTTCTGTACCAGGAAAATGGGTTCAGGGACATGATGCATCGCAGTGAGCTGGGGCCCCAGGGCTGCACACACTGAGCCAGGCGGAGACCACACTGCCCTCAAGCCCTTCCATGTCAGGTGATTCTTGGGATCTGCATTATTTATTTTCTTAGGCTTTTCCTGATATTTTCTTCATTTCCATTTTATTTGAAAGGCAGAGACACAGACAGAGTAGAGAGAGAAAGACGAGAGAGAGAGAGAGAGAGAGATCCTCGATCTGCTAGTTCAATCCTCAGATTCCCACTACAGCCAGGGCTGGCTGGGTCAAGTCAGAACCAGAAGCCCACAGCTCCATCTGGGCCTTCCCCACTTGTGCAGCAGGGCCCGAGTCCTTGAGCCAGCCACCTGCTGCCTTCCAGGGTTTGTGTTAGTAGGGAGCTGTCCCAGGGCACCCTAGAATCTACCTGGCCAGCTCAGCACTTCAGTTCCACATAATGGATGAGAATTCTGAGTCATGTGGGCCTGGGCCTGCCGAAGGACACACAGAGAAGGCAGAGCTGGGGCCTGAACCCCTGACTGTGTATGAGCCTGGAGCACATTTTGAGTTTTGCCTCTGAGGGCGCCCTCTAGAGGGAGTCCCGGGGAGGGTGACCATCTCGGCAGGGGAAGGGAGTGAGGGAGGCAGGCTCTAGGAAGGGGCTTTTCAGCAAGGTGTTGAGGGTTGAATACGAGTTCAGAGTTCATGGAAGGAGGAGAGAAAGGGGCTTCCAGGTGGAGCGACCAGAGCTGGCAGAGGCCTGGAGGCTTCCGAGGAAGTTCTGGTGGCTACCCACATTCTCACTGGTCCTGTGTCCTCTCCTGTAGGCAGCCGGGACAGGGCTGGGCGGCCGCTGCTCCTGGTGTCCACCAGCCAAGGGGCCTGGGAGGAGTCCTGGTGCACAGCCTCAGAGGTGACTCAGCTGCTGTCCTACCTGTGTGCCATCCCCAGGTGAGGGCCTGACCCTTCCCCTGACCCCTCCCCATCCCTGCCTCAACACTGGACTGGGCCCCTTGTCCTTCTACTCAGGCATCTGTTCACAGAGCCAGCCTCGGCCATGGCCCAGCACCTGCAGGGGCATATGTGGGGTGCAGCAAGGAGAGGCATGTGAGAGATGCATGATTCTAAATCCACTAAGTTTACTGGTGGTGCTACTAGAGTGAGGACCACACTTGGAATCCCACTGGAACATGGAAAGGGTGGGAAAGCAGGGAAGGCTCCCCGGAGGAGGTGGCTGTTGAGCCGGCACCTGAATGAGAGATTTATGGAGTAAATGTAGGAAAAAGTGAATGACTGAGGGATGAGTGAGCCAAGCTGGTTTCTAACCAGCTCAGCCCTCAGCTCGCATGTGGACTGAAAGTGGGACCGTCTGGGGAAAAAGCACCATTCTCCCCTCTGAGGCTGGGCCCCTAGCCAGAGCAGATATTGTTCAGGCTACAGCCTCGCTCCCCCAATCACCCCCGCCCACTGCAGGTGTTTGTGGCCAGTAGGGAGCCGGGGAAAGAGGACACAATGTTTTGCAACTTTCTTCCCGTGGGAACCAACACTGCCACCTGCTGGCCACTGAGGGTGCTTTCCCTCCTGTTGAAGATGCAGCGGCTCTCCTGGCCTTAGCGCAAGAAGGGACCCCTAGTTTGGCCTGAGAAACAGCTTGCTGTGGAGGACCCAGCCCTGGAACCCCACCAACTTGCCACACAGCCTCCCCTGTCTGTAGGGCAGCCACACACGGGCGCCCAGCACCGAGGAGAGCTGTATGAGGCAGGGAGGCAGGTATGCATGGTGAATGGGGTGCACACCAGGTTCTTGGGTGCCTGCTGGGTTTCCCATGTGCACTCTGAATGGACACTGCATTGGTGCCTGCTCCAAGGGGCCCAGAGCCTCCTCCCCTGTCCTTAAAGGGCCTCCAGGCTTGAGACAGAGCCACCAGCACGGCCCCAGCGAGGGCAGGCAGAGGACTTGAAGCCAGAAATCACCTGGCGGTATCACGCCACAGGCTGCTCACACTGTCTGCCATTTTGCCTGTCTGTGCCTCTGTTTCCCCTTCTGGGGTGGTGAGACTGGCAGACATGGACAGCATGGTCTCTGAGCCAGAGAGCCGTGACCTCTCCTTGCCCGGTCCACCATCTCTAGCTACACAAGGACCTCTGATTGTGTCAAAAACTGGTGGTGGTTGGTGAGGCTTGGAGGGAGGACAGGTGCTATTGTCCAAGCCTTCCTGACCATCAAATGGCCAAGCATGCCAGGAGGCACGCGGCCAGCCTGGCCCTATCCTGTACCTGCTGGCCAGACATGGGTGGGTAAGCTCAGCAGTTCTATTAGTCCAGACAATTGGGCCAGTTTGGAAAACTCTGACAAATGGCCCATTGCCAGCTTGATACACTGTGGTTGCCGCAGGTGGGTATTTGGCTATGAGGACTAGAAATCCCAATTTGAAATGGCCAGCTAGAGGCGTTGGGACTAAGGTTGGCTTCAACCAACCAAAAGCCAGCCCGCAAGACATGGGTTCTTGGACAACACGGGGGATGTGTGTGAAACCGGGACAGTGGCAACGAGCGTTTCTGACTCGCTATGGAGCGAGCCGTGACCTACGCCTGGGACTTGTGGAGGGCTTCTCGTTCGGGGAGGACATCAGAGCCTGGTCTCAGAGGGGAGAAAGGTCACCTGTCACTCCAGTCTTTTCAGTGGCCAGTGGCCTGGGGCTTCCCTGAGGCCCATCTGCCTGGCAGGACCTGAGGCCACCCACAAGACTGCCATTCTGCTCCATCCACAGGTCCGAAGAGAAAGCCACTGGGGTGGTGGTGGTGATGGATGCCAGGAAGCAACCCCCACAGGCCGGTCTGGTGGGTGCCCTGCAGGCTGCCCAGGTGAGTGGGAGGTGCTGCCAGGGTCTCTTGACAGGCATCAGGCCTGGGGGCTCAGGGCTGGTACTGGGGCACCCAGGGCAGAAATCTCAGCCTCAGGATGCTTAGAGACACAGAATGTTCTTTAGTCACAAAGCTGGACCACACAAGAGTTAATGAGCTGCAGATGCAGCGCCATCCAAGCACTTAGAGGATGCCCTGGCTCTCCCTTACTCCATTTGCCAGGAGGTGCCGCCCTTCCCCTCGGTGGCAGCTCGGACATCCCAGGGTGTCTCACCAGCAAGGGGTCAGAGAGCTCTTCCCCTGAGGTCGCAGAGCTGGTGTCTGAGCTGTGGTGGGTTCAGCCGGCCATCCATCAGACCCAGGAAATGCAGCACACTAATTGGCTGAGATGATGCAAACCTCACTGGTAGGGAGATTAAGGCCCAGAGAGGGGACCATTCTGGGAGACCTGCTGCTCTCTGCACTTGCAGCCAGTCCCTGCCCAAATATGTCACTCCAAGGTCTCAGCCCTTGGCGGGGGCTGCCTGGTCCCTGTGGTCTGTTTGCCTGAGCCAGAGGGGAGGAGGAGAGAGTGAAGGGGAGTGGGGGGGGGGTTGATGGCCACTTGTGCCGAGTGTCTCTGAGTTGTCCTTGACAGGCGCTGGCTCCTGCCTGCATCCAAAATGTCCTCTTCCTGGGGGAGGAGCAGGGTGCCCTCCAGCTGAAGACGAACCCCGATGTCCAGGTGAGAGGAGGCGGTGGCTGTGCCGGGTCAGGAGTGCTGGGGATGACACAGCTGGGCTAGGGCACTAAATACAAGCTGTCCAGAACCACTTCCCTATGGCCACCTCGGCAGCTCCTGGCAAGCACAGGGAGGAGGGGCAGAGGATGTCACGCCAGTGGGACAAGCGTCACCTAGTCCATCTCTCATCCCTTCCTGTGTTTCTGTCCCTAATGAACACAGAGGTGGAGCTGATTTGAGACTCTACAGGAAAGCGCCTGGATGCTCCTGTGGGTTAGTGCCTGGCCCCATGGTGATGAATGTGGATACCCTACCCCTGCCGCCATGGGGCAGCCATAGAAGAGGTCAACCCACTTGTGTCACACCCCCTCACCCTCTGGCTAGGAGAGAGGCCCATGATGACCTGCACGCATTTCAAACTCACATGTCTCTGGATTCAGTGGTTCTGGATGGAGCCTGGAATTTTGTGTTTTTCACACGCTGCCAGGGGCTCCCAGGGGCTGCCAGGGGCTGCCAGGGACTGCCAGGGGCTGCTAGGTCCAGGGACCACACCGTGAGTGGCAAGAATCACAGGAGGATTTCAAACCCCAGAGAATTATCCCAAACCTGCGTAACTGCAGCTGTTGCATGCTTGGGGCAGCCATGGTCTAAGGTGACCTCTGCACCTTAGGGGACTCTGTTAGGAGCCAGTGACCTTTCCCATGAAAGGGGACAGCATCTTGGGGTGGCCAGAGAATGGCGCAAAAATGACAAAGGCGTCACTTGAGGAGGGAGACCAGCTTCCAGCCCGGACTTGATTGCCTGGGGAGCTAGGAAGGAGCCAGCTGAGCAGGGCCAGGTGGTGAGATTGATTAATGATGTCTGCCATGAGCACAGGCTGGGAGAGCATCGCTGTGAGTGCTGTTTGCCATTCCTTCTCCAGAAACTGGTTCTGAATTTTGATTTCTTGGAGCTTCTGGAAATGATTGGTTGTCCAGGATGCTGTTGGTCAGGCCTGGATCCTTCCTGGTTCTGGGGCAGGGATCCGGGCAGGACCGTCTCAGAGGTCTGTCCCCACCCTGAGTGCCGTGGTCCTCCTGACTCACTGCTTTGCCTGCAGGTGGAAGTGCTGCCCTCCCTGGAGGCCCTCAGCCAGCACGTGGAGCCCGGCCAGCTGCCCGCAGCCCTGGGAGGCCCCTTCCCCTACTGCCACAGCGAGTGGGTGCAATTCTTCCAGGTGTCTGCCATCACAGCTTCCTCACTCCCTCTCACGCCTCCCTCCCTATCCTGTCCCTTGAATCCATCACCATTGGTCTGGTTCAGAAATAGACACAGACCATGCGGGGCTGCACAGCCTGGGCTCCAATCCCAGCACTGCTGTGTGACCTCGGCTGAGTCACTCACCTTCTCTGGGCCTTGGTTTCCTCATTCAACGGAAGGGGATCCCCTCACAGAGGGTTTCTTGTGAGGTTGAATTAAACAGTTTAGAGGCCTGTCCAGCACCTGCTAAGAGGCCTATCTGTGTTAACTGAGAATCAGCATTTGGAGATCTGCTCAGGCACTCAGCGTGCGGTGGGGGCAGCAGAATAGCTTCCTATTGCACAAAGGAGGAAATAAACAAACTCTTCTGGGCCCCTCCCTGCAGGACTGCACCCCGACCCCCACCCTCCCTCAAGGAGTGTTTCCATGTTCTATTATCACCCGAGGACCCGTGGCCTGGGGTGACTACACCATGGCATGTGCACTGTGAGCTTAGACCACGCAGAAACCCACGCCCCTGAACAGCCCTGGGCTGCCCAGCCCCAGCCTGGCACTGCTGGTGGCCAGGGACTTGGTTTCTGTTGTATGCTGTCCCAGTATTGCATTGTGGCTCAACTCCTCCTGGCCCCTGCCTGCTCCGTGGTAGCGGTACCTCCAGAGATTAGCTGTGTGCTGGGTTCTTTTCTGAGTGCCTTGAGCGCATGAACCCTCCTGATCCTCACACAACCCTCTGGCCTAGGGGTCCTCCCGAGCCTGTTTTACACAGAGGCACAGAGAGGGTGAGTAACCTGCCCCAGGTGTCACAGCAGAACTGGCAGAACTGGGCCAAAAGGGGACCCAGTCGAGGAGGTGCCCCAAAGTCCATCCTCTGCTGTCCCTCCCCTCCCATGAGATGTCCCCCACTGCCCTGAGAGATCTTCAGGCCCGTCGTCTTCCTCTCTCCATCTCTCATTTTCAACACCAGTGCTTCCCATAGTCTGCCCACCCCACCTCCACCTGACCTGCAGCCTCAGCCTCCCCTGGGAACTTGTGTGAAATGCATGTTCTCAGGCCCTGCCCAGATGATTGGAAGCAGGACCTCTGGGGCCGGGCACTGCCTGCGTATGCCTGCCAGGCCCTGGGTGACTCCCTTTCTGCCTGCAGAGGCTGGACCCTTTCCTGGCTGCCCTGCGCCAGGCCTCATCCCTGCTACGGGCATCCATCGAGGAGTTCGAGAAGGGGGACCTCCCTGAGGGGGTGCAGGTGAGCCTGGGGCACAGACAAGGAAGCCACATGAAACCACCCGCCTCAAGGGGCCGAGGGGTCAGGGTCAGGGCCAGTAGAGCCGGTGTCACCGTCCCCGTTGTTGGTTGATTGTATCAGCTGGCAGGTATTAGGCCCCCCACTACAGAGCAGAGACCTCGCTGGAGACCCAGCCCAGGGCAAGCTGACTTGTCCCTGCCTTCCTGGCACTCATGGTGAACATGGACCACAGGGCATGGAGACAGGGCCACAATGTGTGCCCGCTGCTGTGGAAGTGAGATGGAGAATGATGGGGAAGGAAGGCCTGGCATGCAAGGCGTGGACAGGGCTTTGAGACAGGCAGAGAGTATGTGCAAAGGCCCTGACGTAGGATTCTGCGTGAGATACTCGGGCATGGCAAGGAGACCAGTGGAAGGAAGCACTGGGCGGTGGTGGGGGAGGGTGGATGCAGGGCAAGGACAAGGAGGATCTGGGCTGGGATTCCTCATAAGCCTGCTGAGTTTAAAGCAGGGGGAGGATCCTTTCAGCTGCCACGTGTAGAACAGACTGTGGGGGGAGCCAGAGGGCAGCAAGGAGAGCAAGGCATAGGCTAAGACAGGCGTTACACCAAGAGATGCTGAGGCTTGGGCCAGTGTGGTTGCCATGGTGATGAGTGAAGTATATGAAAACGTGTACACTTTCTAGAGGATGGAGAAGTCAGGCTTGATCTGGGTGTGGGGAGCCCTTGGCAGGTTGCCCAGGGACAGTGGGGTAGGATCTGAGGGTAGCTCCCTGTGCCTACAGGAGGCCACCAGGTACATGAGCAAGTTCAAGGAACTGATGGAGGTTGTGTTGAGAGATCCGTGCCTCCTGGGCCTCCAGCGGGAAGGTGGAGCCACCTTGGCCAGGCTGCGGCGTAAGGCTGGCCAGCTGGATGCCAACCCAGACGTCAGGTATGGATGCTAAACCTCTCCTCCCCATCCCTATCCTGCCGCCCTGGGGGCCTGGGAGCCACCTGCTGAGTGTTAGAGTCCGGGCTAAAGCCCCGGAGGTCAGGGTGCAAGCTAGTCAACCCCCAGAGAACAAAGAGTCTCGCTGGCAATGCAAACAGAGTTTATCGCGCCAGCATGCTGGGGTCAGACCGGACTTGGGGCACTCAGGCCAGCCAAGTGGCGGTAGGACCTCAAATGAGCCCAAGACAGAAGATTATATAGTCCCTTTGGGGCTGAGAAATACATCAAAAGTAACAACCTTAGACATGTTAATTTTTTATGGCCTCCAGGCACAGGCAGTCTGTTCCGTTCCCACACACCCATTATCTTTATGGCTCATCCCATTTTCACACCCTTCCTCCTGTTCCTGGGACCAGAGGAGAGGTGCGCCCCTGCCCTCCTGCACCTGGGTTAGTTGATAGATCACAAGGTTGCAGGGCAGCAAAGAACAGATTTATCGCTAAAGCGGCATCCTCCCAGAGTCCAGGCACCTCCTGGCCTAGCAAAGTAGCAGTTTTCTCAGCACACTGCCCAACAAAAACATGCCATTCTAGCATTCCAATATTTACCCACACTCTAACACTGAGGAGACACACAGGCAGGCCCCAAGGAGCCTGGATCAGGCGCTTCCAGGTGCCCCACTCCACACCTTGCTAAATTCCTTTTAAAAAAAAAGATTTATTTTATTTGAAAGGCAGCATGACAGAGAGGGGAAGAGAAAGACAAATCTTCCCTCTTCTGGTTCATTCCCCAAATGGCCACAACCTGGGCGGTGCCAGACTGAAGCCAGGAGCTGGGAGCTCCATCCAGGGGTCTCCCACGCGGGTGCAGGATCCCAAGGCTTTGAGCCATCCTCTGCTGCTTTCCCAAGCTATTAGCATGGAGCTGGATCAGAAGCAGAGCAGCTGGGAGTCAGGCTTTTGGCAAATACCTTGTCCTTCAGCCCCAGTAGTCATACCCAGGCTGAGGTGGGCACCAGAGGACAGACCTCTCTGCTCCTGGTCACCCTTGCTTACTATGCATTTTTTTGAGACCTGTAGGCTGAGTCAAGCCCCTTCAAAGGCTGAATCGGTTGCTCTTGGTGGGAACCCTGTGGGGCCCAACCACGTCCTCAGTTGGCTGATGGGCTCAGTAATGTGGACAACTGCTAATGGCTGATAGGGATTTGAAGTCAGGCCACCTGGGCATTGTACCCTGATACAGCTCTCCCTCCCTGCAGGCTCCTGGGCCTGCCCTGGAGAACCACATGGCTTGTCAGGGATCTCAGATCTCCTGGCTGTTAACAGGCATTCCGGGCTGCACCCCACTTTCTTGCATTTAGGGAGTGGGAGGGAGTCAGTAATGAAATTGATCATATGGTCTGGCACTGTGGCACAGCCGGTTGAGCAATACTGACATCCCATGTGAACACTGGTTCGAATCCCAGCTGCTCCACTTCCAACCCAGATCCCTGCTAATGCCCTTGGGAAAACAGCTGAAATGCTTGGGCCCCTGTACTCACATGGAAGACCTGCCCTGGCCGTTGCAGTTCTTTGGGGAATGAGCCGTTGGGTGGAAGTCTGTCCCTTTCTCTTTCTCTCTCCCCCCTTTATGTAACTCTGCCTTTCAAAACATACATCTTAAAAAAAACCAGAAATAGGTCAGAAGCTGGAAGTGTTTTCTTTCCATTATAAAACAGCTACTTGTATCCAGGAGTCAAGTGTGAAGCTTGCCTAAGCTTTTAAGATCCATTTGTTTATTGATCCAACACTTAAACAGCGCTTAGCCATGTGTGCACCATTGTTCTAAGGACTTACAAATACTGACCCATGTAATTCCCATGCCTGAGACAGGCCCTGGTGTTAACCTTAATTTATAGTAGGGGAGTCTGTGGCTCAGAGAAGTTATGGGTCAAGTTCAGGATCACAGAATAGGGATGTAGTGGGGCCGGGATGTGAGCCCTGGGCTGCCTGGCCCCAGAAGTTTGAACACACCACCCCAATTTGCACCCTTAGACTCTGGAGCAGTCAGCACAGAGGGACTGGGTGAGCAGTCTGGGAGGAGGAGCAACATGAGGTGGGGTGCCCCTCACTCAGCTTGGGTGGCAGGCTCTGCTCCTATGGAGGATGCCTGGTTGCTGGAAGCTCCACCAGGGGGCGCTGTGGTCCCACAGGAGCTGCCAGGAGGATTTGCTCCACTGATGAGCCTCTGTGGGCCCAGCCTGCCTAACCCTCTCCCTCCCTGGCTAGGCTGCCCTTGCACCGTTCCCTGGAAGGCCAGCGATCCCTGGGGGAGCTGCAAACAGGCAAACATACGGACAGACCAGGGAGACCATAAGGGGCAGGGGAGAGGGCTGAGGGTTGACGTTCCTCATTTCCCATGGATGGCCATGCTGGCCTGACATTCCCATCTGCACCCTTCCTTGGCTTGACTTGTTTCTTGAGCTCGTATGTGGAAATAGCCCTGCACTGGTCACCCAAACAGACCACCACGGTAAACGTCATTTCCCTCTGGGGCTGGGGGAGACCTCAGTTTTTCCCTCTGTGAAATGGAGACCTGGTGATGAGAATGTGTGGTTATCCCACTTCATAGCCAAGCACTGAGAGGATTGTACGGGTCCTGTCCTGAACCACTGGAGTTCGAAGCCAGTTGTGTCCAGTGGGCCTTGTGTCCCTTGGAGGGAGGAGGCTGGCTCTTTGTCCTCACTGCTGCAGCCTGGGTCCTCCCAGGCCCCTAAAGGCCCAGACACGTGTAGGGAACTGCCCATGATCACACAGCAAGTCAGCAGTTGGAAATTCAGGCTGGGGTCCCAGAGTTGGGGTAGGAGTGGAGCCAATGGGCAGGGGGGGCACTGAGTACCTGTTCCACCTGCCCCTGTCTCCAGGGCCCATCTGGCTGAAGCCACCACTCTGTATGGCCTCGTGGATGAGCAGCTTCATGTCCTGGTCACCACATCCAACCACCTCCTAGGGAAGCTGGACCTCCGAGTTCGCCTGGGTCACCTGGAAGGTGCCATCCACCAGGTGAAAGGGGAGGCTGGTAGGGATTGGCAGTGGCCAGGGGAGGCCCTGCATAGCCTGCAGCCCTAGGAGCCAGGTTTCCCTGAGGAGCAGGCGGGGATTGAGCCTGCGTCCTCCGGGCTGGCAGACAGTGGTCCCTCCCGTGTCAGGCACCCATCCTTGGGGCAGAGCAGGTGGCAGGCTTCACCAGGGTAAAGAACTTGTGTGTACTTTTGTGGGTACACAGAAGGAGGAGTAGCCATGTACCCCTGAGCCCCACCCCGAGCCTTCACCTGTGAGCTCCGGAGAAGGAAGCAATCTGCCCAGTGTGGTCGGAGCCTTGCTCCCCACCTCTGGAGCTTGCATTCCTCCAGAGTCGGGGCGCTCACCACTGTATCCCCAGGCTGCCCCATTATGACCCACCCAGGGAGTTGCATTTGCTACCCTGTGACTTTAAGTGGCCCCTCCCTTTGAGGATTTGAACAGTGCCCTCCTCACCCCAACCCCTCACCCAAGTGTTGTTCCACACTCCTGATCCTGGACAGTTCTCCGGTAAATGGGGACAAGCTGGCCTGGGTCCCCCTGAGTTCCAGAGACAGGGAGCTCACCAGCCTCCCCACCCTAGGTCAGCGAGTGGATGGAGCAGCAGGGCAGTCAGTGCCTGCAGGCGCTGACCCCCGAGGACGGCAGCCTGGAGACTGTGGAGAAGGCGCATGCTGAGTTTGAAGACTTCTTCCTGCAGGCTGCGGTGCGTCCTGAGCCACGGGACGGGGTGCAGCACCTGGGGTGGGGGCGACAGCATCCAAGGGGGTGATCCTACAAGTGGAGGTAGGAAACTGCACAACAGTCCAGGGACAGCAAGGAGACCAGGGTGGGTCAGCAGTGATGTCATCTCCTCCAGGAAGCCTTCCCAGACTGCCGATCCAAAGTCCACTGGCAAGTTCTGAGGGTGTTTCTTAAAATGCGGTGTCCAGGGCCTTACTTTGGACTTGTTCAGACATCCTCAGACATCAAGGGCTTTGCCAGGGCAAGAAATGGGACCCTTGGTGTTGGGGCACAGAGTGAGCCTGCCTGACCCCCAGGAACTCCCAGGCTGGTGGAGATTAGGGGGCAGCATACAAACAAGAAACACAAGGACTGTGGTGGGGACACAGTGGAGAGCCCCCAGCCTAGGCTTTGGGTTCAGAGAATCTTCCAGAAGTCCAGCAAGGCAGAGACCTGGAGAGCTAATACAGACGCATCTCATGGAGGAGGAGACAAAGTGGCAGTGGGAGTTTCTTGACTCCTGGGGATCCCCCAGTTCAGGACCTGAGTGGAGGCTCCCCCGTTCTCCACCCTCAGGCCCAGTACCGCCGAGGCCTGGAGCTGTCCAAGCAGGCGGCACAGCTGGGAGCTGCAGCCGGAGGCGGCTCGGGCGAGGTGGGGCAAACAGGATTCCCGGAGCTGGCGGCCTTTGCCCGTACACAGCGGGCCTTCCAAGCCAAGCTGACCCACTTCTACATGGCAGCCGAGCGCCAGCGCACAGACCTGGAGACACTGCTCCACCTGCACCGCTTCTGCAAGAAGGTGAGGCTGGGCTCCATCCCCACAAATAGAGCAGGTATGGCAGGTGCAGTCGGAGAGAGGAGTGCTCTGCCTGACACCAGCCTTCTGGCATGGTTTACTTCCTCAGTCCTGCTGGGGAGGCAGCGGTGGCTTTGGGCACAGCTGTGACCCTGCCCTTAAACATTCCAGTGTCTTCTCTGGAGAGCTCATACAGACCCATTTCATGGAGGGGGAGGAGATAGAACCGCACAGGAGCCATTCCACCCTGTAGGAAGAACACGCCCATTTCATACAGGAGAACCCTGCCCCAGGACACAGCTGCCTAATGGCACACAGCTGGGCTGCCAAGCCAGAAATCTGGCTTGGGGACCAAACAAAACTCTGATTTCCCCCAACCCAGGGTCTGGTCCACAGTGTGAGTGTAATGGCCAAGTCCTCATTCCTATGGTGAACAGGAACAACACCTCGAAGGTTGGTGGGGGCCTTCTAGAAGCTTTTTTTTCCCTGGTTCCTGGGTTTCAGCCCCCTTGGCCTTCCCTGGCTCAGCTGAATTTGTTCTAGGTCTGAGGTCGCCTTGCACATACTGGACCCTCAGTCTGGGAGGCCCCTCGTGGCCGTGAGCTGGTTCCTATGTTGAACTCTGATCTCCTCCTCCAGGACGCCCTCTCTGTCACACCACCACCAGCCCCTACTCCTTCTCCCTGCCCCTTTCTTTACTGCCTGGTGCTTGCCATGGTTCTACTATGCTAGCCCGGACATCCCCGGCTGGAGTCTCCACCACAACCCTCTCTGGCTAGCTGGCATTCGCTGGCCCTCAGGCACTGTGGGCACTATGCTTCCTGAGTTGCCAGCCCCATGTGTCCAGCTGGGCCTGGATAGCTAAGCCCGGGGTCAGACAGATGACGCAGCAGCCCCGTGCTGGGCTAGGCCCCAGGCGGGGAGCGTGCGTGCCACTGCTGTGGCCCTAAATAAGAATAACCCGATGGTGCAGCTCAGGGAGATTTATGGAGCCCTTTGCCAGCCATGAGCTCTGTGTGCTGCCGCGAATATGAAGCCATTCATCTAAAGACAAGTTCCCTTAATCCACGGAAAGATGGCCTCCTCGGAGAAAATGGCCCTCCAATCCTCATTGCCTAACAGCTCGCTGTCGGCCTCGGAATTAATGGAGAGAAGGATTATGTTTTTCACGAGCTGCGGGGAGTGTGCGGCCTCCTTGGCAATCTGCAGGCCCTCGGATGGGGGACATGGGTATAAACAGAATCACAGCCAGCGGCACAGGATCGCAGGGCTGGGGGGCTGGGCGTGGCCCGCCACCTGATGCAGATGCCTGTCCTACTGGGTGACTGTCAGGGCACGCCCCTGCCTGGACCACTTTCTGCTCTGCCCACAGAGACAGAACAGACCTGAGTGACAAGCCCCAGTCCCTCCACCCTGACTCGCTGTATGACTGGGGGCAAGTGAAGTTTCTGCCCTGAGTCTCAGTTTGCTCCTGTGTGAAATGGGCTGCTGGTTGAGTGCTTTATGTTCAGACAGGACATGCTGGGTGCCAGGCAAACACTCAGCACTCAAGGCACAGCACCGAGCTCCTCCCTCAGCACCCTGAACCAAGGAGCCAGGTTCTCACGCATCATCGTTCTAATGCAGCTCCCACTTTATAGGAGGGAAAGTCCTTGTGGGCCCCTTGTAAGAGGCTGGGGTCCATTTCCAAGTGGCAGGTGCATGGGAGAACCATTATCTTCAGCGTGAGCAAGATCATGACCACCCCGGGTTTCATTCTAGCGATTCTTTGTCCCAAGCCCCTCCCAAGGTTCCCCTGCCAGCCTGAACCCCTGCCTTCTCTTCTCCCCAGCTAGCATGGTTCCACATGGATTGTCAGGACCTGGTGAGCCAGCTCAGGCTGGGCAAAGGCCAACGGGCCAGCCCTGGGGATCAGCGCCGCCTTCACCGCTACATACAGCGCCTGGTGTCCGAGTTCTCCACTGAGAAATTCACAGCTATGGAGCTGCAGGTGGCCTCCCTGAGCCAGGCTGGTCTGGGCCAGGACCTGTGGGAGGAGGCCCGGGCAAGACACGAGGAGACTCAGGCCCTCCTGCACAAGGCCCTGGCCCACTGTTCAAGCCCGGGGGTGCCCGCTGCCCACAGGACACCCCCCGAGCTGAGGGGGGTGGCTGCCAAGGGCCAGGGGCCCAGTGGAGAGGTCACTTCCAAGAGCAAGAGGGACGTGCCTTTGCAGAACTCGCTAGGTATGGATCGGCTAGCCAAACCCCGCTGGCCGCCTCGGAGTGCCCGGGGGAGGCCAGATGGAAATTGCGAGTCTGGCCAGGCTGGGCACCCAGAGCTCGCCCCCGAGCGGTTCCTTGCAGCCCTCTTCCGGCCACGACTCTCTAAGTCCAGCCGGGCCCCCCGGACCCCTGGAGGCAGCTTCTCCTCAGAGGGCACCGATTCACAGACATCCCTGGAGGATTCACCCCAGACCAGTCCCCCTGCGTCCCTCTAGCTGTGGACCCCATGGGCTGCACCAGACTCAAGGCTGTCAAACCCTCATTCACCTGTACCTGGAGGGCAAGCAACTGTCCCCACCATTGCAGAATATTCTGAGCAGGCCCTGCTGGCACCTGCTATGAAGCGTGCAAATGTTTGGTAGGGGACACCACCATCACTGTGGACCCTCCCAGGGGGCTCTGGGTTAGGCAGGCCCAGCTGCCACCCTGAGTTGAGGAAGGAACATAGTCGCCCCGTTGGGCTCCAGGTTAAAGGAGCTCGCTGTTGGGGAGATGTGGGAATGGTTTCCTGCCTTAGGGTCCCATGGCAACACCCCCTGAAGCAAGGATTGGATTTGACTTTGGCTGTGACCCCAGGACCCACAGGGCAGGGCAGCTGAGTCTGGAGAGGAAATGGAAGGTGTACAATCCCACAGCCTCCCACATGGGCCTCCTCTGGGAGGCAGCTGAGAACGTGAGCACCTGCTCCCGATGATCCTACAGAGGCCTGTGAGAGCCAGGCTATTCACTCATCGGTTCCTGGAGGTTAGTTTTGTGAGCTGCCGGCAAAGCTCCATTGGCCTCAGCCAAGAGCACCTCCTGCTGGGGCCGGGAGTCACCCCTGTGCGTGCCAGGGAAAGGGCAAGGCAGGGGTGGGAGAGGCTGCTGTGCCCCCTCCTCCTTGGTTCCTGGGCCACCCTTCTGATTCACACAGCCCACATCACTATAGAAATAAGCTGTCCATCCAGGCTTCCATCCCCAACCCGGCCTAGCCGCTGGTGCCCCCAGAATTTGGGGCTCTATAACATAGGAGTAGAGTGGGGAGGAGGGACCAGCATCACCATGTACTAGGTCAGGATCCATAGGTAGAGCCTGATTCCCGTCAGCTGTGGGACGCATCCCCATGATGCTCTCTGGCAACTGAGCTGAAATTTTCCTGACCTCAGCACAAAGTGAATACGGATATCCTTCATTGTGGGGTCCGGCCAGGGAGACTAGGCAGGCCTGGAGCAGGCCCAGGAGGACTCTCAGTGGAGAATCACACATACTCTGGGCCCCAGTGCCTTCAAGAATCTTCTGTGAGACTCAAGATCTCTCCAGGTGTAGCCTGGGGCTTGCCTGCCTCAGAGGTGTGAGCAGAGAGGAGCAAAAAGCAGCTCTGTCGGGGGCCCAGCGACTGAATGTTCCAAGCCAGCTTCCTGGGGCTAGGAGGCCTGGAATCTGCATTCCAAACCACCTGTTGTGTGGTTCCCCATGCAACTCAGCAAGAGATGGCTTGCATTAGTGCCTGTATGCTGTGTGAAACCCAGCACCACTGCCTGGAGGTGTCACGGGGAGTGAGGGCAGGAGCTGAGTTCACCGCTTCTGGGGACCTGCACCCACCTTGACCCCTCCTGAAGACCAAGCCCCCATGGCCCCGTCACCTCCTGAGGGCCCCACGTTGTGGCATGGAGATGAAGGCAGGGGCTGGGAGAACAGGGAAGGCAGGCAGGCTGCACACATCAGAACCAACGCAGGGATGCCTGAGTCAGCCCCGCACCATGAGCCTGCTCTGAATTCTGTGTTCTGCTCCCTGCCTGCCACCCAGAAGCCCAGTCATGTGTGAAGAGAGCCGGTAGACCAGCTCAGCTCCATCCATGCCTGTCGCCTCAGAGACAGGGGGAGTGGGGGCACAGGCTCTTGCAGCGCTGTTGCCATAGCAACAGCATCCAACCCGTGGGGACTACAGCCAAGGGGCCAGGGAGGCCCGGGGTACAAGGATAGAAACTGACTTGGGGAGGCCACAGCTAGTGCTAGGGAAGAGGGGGACAAGAGCGGGGGTAAGTGATTAGAGAACTGCTTTGGAGAGGGGTCCCCAAGGTCTCGCATCCTTCTCTCTCCCTAAAGAGCTATCCCCCAAGTACCTATGTGCTCACACAGACCCTGGCAGAGAAGGGGATGCAGAATTGCAGCATAACCATGAGTAACAATATACAAATATAACCATGAGAGCTAGCATCTCTTTTGCATTCTCTTCATACTTTGCTTTATGCTAAGTGATATAAAGCGTGTGAGTTTCCCACCACAACCCCGTGAGGCTGGTACTCATTCTGCCTACATTTGCAGGGACCCTGGGTGTGTGTCCCTCACACAGCCCTTCTGGGCCTGGCCACTGCTGTGCTGGGGACCTTGGCTAGGCTGAGCTTGGTCCTCTGGGAAGCCTTCACAGCAGCCCTATTCTAGCACATGAAGTAAAGTAGCCCAGTGGTTAGTGATATGGACTGCAGAATTGGGCTGACCACACTCCCACTCAGGCTCCACTACACTGTGCATGCTATGGCTGGGAGTTCTCTCCCACCCAGGCTCTCAGAGGCTGGTTGTGTTAAGTGGGATGCAGTCAGGGCACCTCCAGTGGTACCCAGAGCCCATACCTAGGCACGGGTCCTGGCAGCCCCAGCCTCAGCCTCCATGGCCTGGCAGTTGAGGAAGACATTTCCCTAGAGGCCCCTGCTGCATCCCAGGAGCTTTGCACTCTAAATGCTGTGGACTCTGTACTTTCTTATTCTGAATCCCTTTTCTTTCCCAATGGCCGAAGAGGCTTAGCTTTTTGGCTGGGCTCAGGGCAGGGAGTTTCCTCATGCAGGTGCAGCTTCCCACACGTGACCACAGGAACTGTGAACCTGCTACAGCTCCGCCCCCAGGGCTGGTTCCCAAGAGGGGGAGGAAAGAGGGGAGGAGGAGGCTGCAGGGTGCCTCCATGGGAGTTCAACAGCAAGGTGGCAGTCTGCCCTGGTGGGATGAAGATGGAGCTGAACCCCAAGTTTGCCTGTGGGCCTCATGGAAGAGGATGGGACCCCCTTTTGAAAGAGCAAGGGCAGTTGGGCAAGGAGTGTGAGAAGAGCACAGCCTGGGACTCAGCGGCTGCTTATGCCCTTTGGCCCTGCCGCTGGTGGCCTAGGTGAGCCTGTGCAAGCTGCTTTCTCTCTCTCCTCTCTGGTGTTTGGTTTACCCCCATCTGCAGGATAAAGAGCTTTCTCATCCTGGGAATCAGATAGCCCTGTCTTTGAGTGAAGCCCAGCCTCGGAGTAGATGGCTGCCCTCAGTATTCCCCATCTGCTGGGTGGGTTTGCCAAGCCTTCTGCATGAGGGTAACAAGACCTTTCTTATGGGCTTTCTCCTTCTGGAGCAGCCATCGTCTTGGAGCAAAGCTTTGCCAGTTTGCCAGATGGCAGCATGGGGGCAGAGTGGGGGTGCTTGGCAGCCTACAGAGCACTTGCTTGTGCATCCATTTGTTATGACCTTGAGGGCCACAGAAGTCATTCCTGGTGGTGTACTGGAAAGGGAGACGCATCCAAGCTCACAGAGCCCAGAGGCTAGCTGAGGAAGGGAGACCACTGGGTCTAGACGGAGCTCTCATCTGTGTCAGGTTCCAGAGTGTAAGGGAGCTTCCATTCTGATATCCACATGCTCATGCCCTCTGGATCCACACCCCACACCCTACACCCAGACTGCACAGTCGGCCAGGGTCAGGGCATGGTCTGACCAGGATCAGGGAACAATCTGGCTGGGGTTAGGGCATGGTCTGGCCAGGGTCAGAACACAGATTGTCTCCACAACACAGGCTGTTCTGTCCTCCAGGGCCTGACTTGGCCTGCAGCCCAGGGTTTGCCTCTCCAAGCTGAGAAATAGCTCTCTGAGGCTGGACCCTCTGGATAACAGCTAAGAGCAGACTCCATGGTCCCCTTCCTTTGAGTCTGTGGCATGGTTGCAGACCCTGTGGGGATACTGTGCAACTCCTCAGGCCCCCATTTCTGCATCAGTGAAATGGGAGTGTGATCTAACACAAAAAGCCAGTGCACCTGCTATTTCTCTCCTGGGTGTCTAGCACAGCCCCTAGCATCCCTGAATCTCCAGCTGCCGAGCCTATCTGTTGTATGCTGTTGAATGAGTGCTGGGCTGCCCCATGGCCCCTGGACTGTCCCTGAATGATCAAGGCTGATTAGAGGGCTGAGCCTTTTCACACCACACCCCCCCCCATAGCCTCTGCCGTGGGAATATATGATGGTTGAATTGATCACCAAGGGCCAGTGATTGGGTCAGCAGCAGACCTGCGTACTGGCACCTCCATAAAATCCCAGAAGGACGGGGCAGTTCCTAACCCCCAGCTTGGATCCTTCTGCTGTTACAGTTTCTGATTTTGTATTGATCAGTGTCCCCCTCCCCCACCCCACGCCACTGTCTCACTAGTCCTCTGCCTCCTCCTCTTCCTTCATCATCATCTCCTTCCTCCTCCCAGCCTCTGCTCATCCTCCCTTGACAATAGGATTCTTGGGGTCTTCCTCCAGCCATCTGCTCCCCTTCAACTGTCCTTCCCCCAGGGGGTCTTTGTAAATGCAGAATAACGCCAACCTCTGCTTTACCTGACCCCGGAGCACCCCTAAGTGCTCCAGATAGATTCTCAACCCTTGGCCATGAACCCCACAGTAGCTGTGTGTGGTCTGTTGACCTCTGCCCTCCATGATCCCATCCCCTTGTTACGTGTGTTCTGCCGACGCCACCTGCCAGTTCGTTGCACACCTTTCCTGTGATCAAGTTTCCCAGAAGCAGAGCTGAGGATGATAGCTTGATGAGGTGTCCATGAGAGAAACACAGAGGGAAAGGAAACCAGGGTTCAGGTTCAGACCACTTCCTAGCCCTAACCCCAGGCAGAAGGAACTCTAGTGGATCATTCAGTTTCCCTACAAAATCGTGTGGCAACAGCAAAGCAGTGCTTGGGCAGGTACAAGACCACTGGAGATAATATTCTGCATCAGAAGTATACTAAAAGCTCCCACTATTAACAATTTTTGAAAATTCCACCTAAAGACGCCCAGAGTGGGGTAGCTACTTGTGGTTCAATTTGGAACACTCTTACGTGGAGGACAGGACTTACTACAAACTATAGTAATCAAAACAGTATGGTGTTGCCAACAGAATAAACTTAGAGACTAGCATAAAAAAATGTAAAATCAAGTCCATACATCTGTGGTCAGTTGAT